AAAAAAAAAATGAATGACGGCGGGATCGAACCCTGGCCGTCGGCGTGGTAGGCAAGCACGCTGCTAATTAGACAACACGCTCATTCTGAAAATATAATTTCATTAGTGGTATATCTTCAATATATTGAATAATTTTTTTCATTGAAATTCGATAAGATGTGGTTTCCCCCTTCCACATCAATGGATTGCAGCTTTCGTAAGGGCGAATTCCAATTCATTTCGGTATCTTTTCGCGCATTTCGCAATTTATTATGAATTTTTAAAAACAAAGCCGCGAATTTATTGCATAAATTATGCGCTCGCATGATAAAATCCATTGAATTGAATATAGAAAATTAAAAAATTTCGGAATATTCGATTAGGATTAAAGGAATGGAACGAAGTGAGATCAGTGTAGAGATGATTCTTGAAAAAGAGGATCAACCAGCTGCTAGGTAACGGCGTGGACAGCCATCACATCCGGACCCCTATTTCCAAAGCCACCGTTAATAAAAACCAATTAATCATATTTCCCCCCGACAAAATCACTCCAACGTCGTCTCTCTAGTGAAGACGGAGATTTATATTTGTTGGGTTATTCCTCTCCACAATTTCAGAGATACTCGAAAGTAGATTCAATATTTCCATCTGAACTGTCAAAAAATGACGATTAAGGAATTTCATAAAGTCATGGAGGAGTTCAGTCCTCTGATGGACTCATGGTGGCCTTATCTCATCGGTTTATTTTTGGGAGTGATAACTGCTTTAAGGTAAAAGTTCCATTTTTTCTGAGGAATAAAATACAATAATTTTTTTTTGAAAATTCTGTTGATATTCCACTTGAAATCGATTAAAATTACACAAACATCAGTCAAAATTAACTCAATAATTGGAAAAGAACTTTTTTAATTCACATTTATACATTTGAAAATTTTAGAAACTACATGGCGGGCCAGAAATGCCCGAGTGAGGAGAGAATCGATGGGAAAACAGTTGTAATTACTGGTGCATCCAGTGGTATGGGTAAAGAAATAGCAATTGAATTAGCTAAACGTGGTGGACGTATTATCCTGGCAGTCAGAGATGAAAAATCCGGGAAAGCTATTGCTGAGAAAATTCGCGTTATTCCCGACGCCAAAGTCGACGTTAGAAAAATCGATTTATCATCTTTGCAGAGTATACGGAATTTCGTTGAGAAATTTGGTGAATGAATTTTAGATTTCATTCGGTCAAATCCAAAATCCACTCTTAATACCTTTTTTTATCTCTTGTAGAAGTTGATGAGGTGGATATCCTTATCAACAACGCTGGAATTGTTTTCCATCCCCAGAAAAAAACGGACGAGGGGTTCGAGTTGCATTTTGTTACCAATTACTTGGGTGAGTAATTAGAATAATGATTGAGAATAAAATGAAATGGGTTTTTGAATGAATTATTGCAGGACATTTTTTGCTGACGCAACTGCTCCTACCGAAATTGAAAGCCTCTCAACAAGGACGAATCATCAACATTTCTGCAGAGAGTCATACAACAAGTGAAATACATCTCGATGATTTGAATTTAGAAGAGAAATTCAGCGCTGGCGAGGCATTCGGACAGAGTAAATTGGCGATGATTATGATGGCGAGACACATGAGTCAACTACTCAAAGGTAAACGGTTGAAAAAATTCCAATCCTAAATGGATAATTTAAAAAATTATTTACAGACACACACGTAACAATAAACGCTGTAAATCCTGGATTAGTCCGGGGAACACGACACATGAGGAGTTCACCAATCAACCAAGCTCGTTTACTTAAATTAATTATGCTGCCGTGGATGTGGTTACTAATGAAGAGTCCAGTTGAAGGAGCTCAAACGACTATTTACGCGGCTGTATCGAATTCACTGAGTGAAAAATCCGGGAAGTACCTCAGGTAACCCATCAATAATGTCGTCTTCCGGTCCTATTCTGCAACATTTCTAAAATTTCCTTCTTTCAGTGATTGTGAGCTGTCAAATCCCTCCGAACTTGCTCTAGATGAAGCCACAGCAGAAAAATTATTCAATAAGTCAATGGAGCTCGTAAAACCATTCATGAGAATCGATTCCCCCGAGAAAGAGTGAGCAAGTATCAAATTGAGCGAAACCAATTTAAAAATCTAATGTTCATGTAATTCAAAATCATTTTTTTTACACTTGCCGAATTGCTCATCATTAAATATGATTTATTTACTAGCTCAAGTTGAGTTTTGTCCATTTCGCACTGGTCTGCCACAACCACGATGCCATCTTCTCGTCTTTTGCATTTTCGGATTCCTCCGCCCTTTGCAAATTACTGAAAGAATTCGAATATAATAATATAATAAGGGATCTAATGATTCATTCATATCCCTCTTCAACAAATTGAATGCCTAATTACCTGAAATATGCTCCTGTGACATCGTTTAATGACGGATCCAACGCTGTGAATATCACAGTTTGTGCTCCTTGTTTTGGGGTTTTAAGAAATACCCAAAAAAGAGGCTTTATAAAGAAATTAGCTAATACACTCTTGCTGAAGGACATATGCCTCATTAATTCCGTGTCAACGATTCCTGGATGAACGGCATTGACGGTAACTCCAGTATCTGAAAAAAATTCATCGATTTCATACTTTACATGAGTCTGGGTCATCTGGGAATTATTTACCTTACATTTTCAACAGACCTTTTAGTTTTTTTGCGAGTTCCTTTGTGAATAAAATATTTGCTAATTTACTCTGTGCATAAGCTTCGCCTGCATCATAACTGTTAGTGCTGTTGAGATCATGGGTATTGATGCTGCCTCTAGTATGAGCTACACTAGAGACATTGACTATTCTCGCAGGAGCAGACGCCTTGATCGTATCTAATAATAAATTAGTCAGCAGAAAGTGCCCAATGTGATTAACACCAAGCTGCATCTCAATTCCATCGGCAGTTAAAGTCTTCGGGCATCTCATAACTCCAGCATTATTTATCAAGATGTCAAGCCTGCCATGTTCTAAAAAATTATGATAACATGAAAATCATTTTATCGTGTGTCTATCTGAATTCATCGAGATATTCACAATCATTGAAATTGGGCCATTCACCTTTTTTGAAATTTCTGACAAACTCATGAATGCTCTTTTGCACGGATAGATCGCATGATCTACAATAGACGTATTTATTTCTAGTTTCTAGAACGATCTCTTGACGTGTCTGGAGATTGCAGAAATTCTCATGAATCCAATGATTTTTATCGAATTTTACGAGTGAGGGGAGTACTGACCGTTTCACATTTGAATAAATCTCTACAAGCCATGACAACTTTTGCTCCTCGCTGAGCCATTCCTCGAGTTACTTCCTTTCCAATTCCTGTGTTAGCTCCAGTTACTATTACAACTTTGTCCGTCAAGTCCTCATGGCCTGTGTATTCTTTCCCCCCGGCAATGTCCCTGTTACAAATTTATGGATCCGACCATAAGTGCTGCGTGAAAAAATGAATAAATGCTCGGGATTCCAAAAAATTTTAGAGCACTTGGGGTAATTCAACTGAAATATGTATCGATCATCACTCGATGATATCTGATTTATTATTAAATTATAGATCTGATTTGATACCGGATCTAGGTTATTTACTCACTTCATTATGCAAGCTGCACCGACACATGTCGCTATTCCACTCACCCAATAAACCGGTGTTGGCAATTTCCAGGGCATTTTCAATGATTTACGGGTAATTACTGAGTTGTAATTACTTACGATTATAATTGCGAGAAATTCAACGTGAGGTTATCGAAGTTCTGGAGAGGAATCTGGAGGATTTGAGGGCGCGTCCACTTGCAGTGGCGGCGCCAGTTGTCATGAAGTCGATTTGTTTTCATTTTGTGGGTGTCAATGTGTCAAAAGAATCGTAATAAATGAAAGAGTAATTGGGATCAAGCACAGCCAAAAACGCCTCAGCAGAACTTGGTGCAAATAAGTGATCGTTAATGCTCATTTGACCGTAAATACATAAACGTTTGTCCTTGAGGTGCCAAAAGCGAATGTTTAGGTTATGCTGCAACATTTATTTTTTATTTCAAAGTGTCGAGGTCTCTCGATAATGGGCATGTGGTCGTGATAAGCCTTGTAAATCCCTGATAAATCCGCAGACTCAATTACAATGAGAAATCCGGATTGGGGAGAATGGTGATAATATTATCTGTCAACTAACAGCTCCAACACTGCGAGCCAATTTCAATTGTGTAAAGTATACATTTCCATTACTTTCTACTCCTTTCATTGCCTTTAATTTTTGTTTTTTTTTTCTCCCAGTACTCGAGTAACTGGAACTCACGAATTTATGAGTCGTAAAAATGAGCATTTTGAAGAAGAGGTGAGTCATTTCTGTTTGTAATTTTTCGGTGTAATGTGGAGACAGTGCAATTCATTGATATCGATATTGACAGGTTGATTGAGTTCGAAGAAGTATTGAACGAGGAAGAAATCGACATTTCACATCTTAAACGGATATGTTTCCACGGTAATTACAGTGCAAGAATTGATTAATTGAAAAAAAATAAAGACAAAAGCTTTCAAGTCGCATTATTCTCTCGGAATTTCCAGGAATTCCTGACGAAGGAGGTTTAAGATCTCTCTGTTGGAAGTTATTACTGAATTATCTTCCCTTGACCAAATCGAACTGGGATGAAACCCTCAAGAGGAAGCGAGATTTATACAATACGTTTATAGGTACGCCATATTCAGAGTTTTGAATATTCCTAGCCCATCGTGACTGAAATTCTGTGATTTCCAGCGGATTTAATCGTAATGCCAGGGGAAAAGAGTCTAGAGGGTGAGAGAGTCGATGTAACTCTGCACGATCATCCCCTGAACTCGAGTCCTGGCAGCAAGTGGCAGACTTTCTTCAAGGACAATGAAGTTCTCCTGCAAATCGACAAGGATGTGAGGAGACTGTGCCCAGACATATCATTTTTCCAACAGGGTACTGATTATCCCTGTCAGGCCATCGTAGACGCCAATGGTCCAAAACGTTTGCACTGCAGAGTGCAGCATACTGTACTGAGAAGTGCGAATGTCGAGAGAAAGGGCTTGGGTGTGACGAAGGTAAAATTATTCTCTCTTCGTTCCCTGCACACTTATTTTCCATTTTATATTCTTTGCATACACCCTTCAGTCGTCAATCTAATAAAAATAATAATCAAATTGTTTTTTATTATGCTGCTGGAAGTAGCAGGTAGAGTATGAAAGGACAAAGTATCACGATAATTATCAAAGGTGAATCTTATGGTCTTAGTTCCACATCAGTTGTCAAAATTCCTTGCAGATCGCGGTATCGGTGAGAAAAGCTCCTGAAGATTATGCCCCGTTGGCTGAAGGGGGTGAGGCACATTGGGAGGTGCTGGAGAGAATTTTATTCCTCTACGCAAAATTGAATCCCGGTCAGGGATACGTACAGGGTATGAATGAAATAGTGGGACCCATTTATCATGCATTTGCGTGCGACCCTGACAGCAAATGGCGTGGTAAGTTTGTCGTTGGTAATCCACTTGTTGTTTTACTGTTATTTAAATTTTAATTCCCTTGTAATTGGCCTCAGAGTGGGCTGAGGCTGATACATTTTTTTGCTTCACCAATCTCATGGCTGAAATACGAGATTTCTTCATCAAATCGTTGGATGAGGCTGAGTTTGGCATCAATGCCATGATGATTAAACTCAGCCAGCAAGTCAAGGCTAATGATCAGGAGGTGTGGACCAGACTTCAGCAGCAAGATCTGTGCCCACAATACTACAGCTTCAGGTGATTTTTTTTGTTCAGGATATTATCGAATAATAATATTATTTTTATGATTGTGATCGTGGTATTAGTGGAATGTTATAATAATTAATATTCAGCTGAGATTCTAAAGTTTTGCTTAATGATAAAAATGTCTGATATCAACAGATGGCTTACGTTACTCCTCTCCCAAGAATTTCCACTGCCCGATGTCATGAGAATTTGGGATTCCCTCTTTGCCGATGAGAAGAGATTCGGATTTTTAACACACATTTGCTGCGCTATGATACTGTTACTCAGAGATCAATTATTGGATAATGATTTTGCTACCAATGTGAAACTTTTACAGAATTTTCCGTCGATGGATATTCAAATCGTGTTGTCCAAAGCAGCAACTCTGGCAGGGAAATCACTGGATACTCCCTGATCCTCTGAAATTTCATGAAAAATTGTTTTTCACCTGAATATCATATTTTTTGTACATAAAAATTTGAAACAATTATTCTCAAAAGATATACCACACGATTCTGAGTAATTGAGAATCTTTCTTCCAATCGACTGAAGACCTGATAAATTTGTACTCAAAATACTCAATTCCGATTTTATCTCAATCGGTGAGCTATTGCTTCTCGGTTCAACCGATTCATAATCATGACCAATCGGTTGTTTTGTAATAAAGAAACAATGCTCAAACCAAATTTATCAAACATGTCATTCAAGTGATTTTATCGTATTATCGGGAAGAATAGGAATTACTGAAGTTTGAAGTGGCTCTATCCTCGTACTCTAAATAAAACGTCCGAATTGATAATTAGGACCACCATGAGATGATTTAGACACTGCATGGGGTCTTCATTACTCCTCAATCAAGTTGAATTATTTTTTATTCATAAGACTAGATATAGTACACTGAGAGAAAAACGGATACGTTCTCAAGCAAATCTTCCTTATGCCCAAAAAATCGTTATTCGAAAATTACCAAAAAATTATTGGCTGATGACAATTTAAATGTTCGAAATATAAAAAATCGGTCGGCTTTCAAAAATGTCTTCAATAATTGTCAAACAATTTTTAACAAACGAATTCATGCGGCAAAAAAGATTTGTTTAAGATCTTTACGATTTTTCGATTGGTCAAGTTATTATATACACGGAGTATCGATTACGATGAATGCTTACTATATGTAGCCAAGAGTCTTGTACGATAAACTTTTATTTTTTGAACGGTCTAACGTTATTTACTCCTTATGTTTATCGTGAAATAAAAAAAATACATACTGTTTAAAAATATGGCTAATTTCTTCAATATTAATTATTATTGCTTTGCAATTATTTCCTTTATGAAAATTTACTCACCTCATTCCATTGCGAATATCTTTCGAATAATTAATATAATTATATAATAAAAAAAAATGAGGAAGAGAATTGGAAATTTCGTCGTTTACCGGAGGTTCACTGGACTTCGAGTGACCGCAGGGGTGAATATCGTATTTTTAAACTTTCTAGCGCAAGTGAAAAAAAAAAATTCTTACGCACGGTGTTTGATTTAAAAAATGGAGGTCTGGATGTGGACGTTTAAAATTCTGTTGATGCAACAATGTGTCGTAAGGACGGCGAGTCGAATCCCCGGTCATGTGTCGTCATATATCTACAAGACGGAGAATAGCGAAAAAGAATAATTCGGTGGATCCAACCCTTGGCGAATCAAACGGACATAAAAATCGTCCAGAGCGCTCTCGAAAATGTTTAATCGGCGTGGGTGGACATTTATAGCGGTTGATTGCTTGATTTACGGCTGCACGGGATTCGAGCATCCGTTCTTGCAACTTGGTAAGCTCTCGGAAATTATTTATTTCTCTTCTCGGCCGATGAAAAGGGATGCGACAACCCTTGAGGCGATGGAAATTTTACGAGCCCCCGGATAGTCACGGCTCCCGACAAAAACTAGGCGACACCGCGTCTACCAAACACGCCCTCGTCATTAAACCACTTGATGATGACGGTTCGTCATTTTTTTCCTCAATTTTTCTCTTTTTTCTGAGTAATCAGTGACGCTTCTAAACTTTATGACGCACCTTCATTAAAATCACCGGATAAATAACATGAAAATTCATGATCTTTTTGATGATCCGACTTTTCACTCCCCCCTCACCCTCAAATTCAAAAATTCTGTCATATTTCCTTATAAATTTATATCAACTAATAAAACGTCTGCACGTGAAATTATAAAAATACCGAAAGTGGAGAAAAAAATTCTATTAAAATTGATTTATCGTCAGCTATTGATAATGATTTTTCAAATATATTTTTCCTGAAGGAAATTTAATTATTCAGACGTTTGTGGTAATTTTTACCATGTCCATAGCAATACTCACGTAATTTGGACTATTTTATTTTCTCCGCGGGTTTATGCGAAAAAGGGGAGCGTCAATTTTCCGTTGATCAATTCAAATTCAATCCCAATGACTGCCTTTGACATTATACCTACGTCTGCCGAGAGAATTTCATTTGATAATGTGCGGCTCGTCGAAATGCGATATGCATTCAAATTTCACCTTTATGCTTTTATTCAAGTATTCGAGCTCCCCGAGGCCCATGAACACTCGCACCACTAATTTACTTTCTAGGCTGAACCCTTTGGTCAATCCATGACTGACGTGACGTCATTTCAATTTATATCCAGACAATTTATATTATTCCCAATGAAAGTCACACAAAAATTTTCCTTCAATCTCAAAAATCTTCAGGGATTTCACGAATCATTGTGTTCAAGAATTTTTACGTAATATTTCATCCATTTTCTAGAAAGAGAAAGAGAAAACTCTTTCTCTGGTAAATTTCCAGTGTCCAGGAGTAATTCGAATTGACCCTATTAGGTCAGATGTAAATCTATCACTTTCTACGAGACGTGCATCAAAAGGTTCACAAAATTATGAGAACCGCGTTCTTTGGATGTGAAAGATTCATCAATCTCCACTCGTTCAGAAATGCTTTCGTCTTCCACCAGTCAGAAAAACACCGTGGAGACCACCGCTGAGATCGAATCTGGAAAGATCCGTACATACGTGGCCAATAATGCCAGTCACCCCTGCGTGATCCTGGCACATTCGTCAATTTCACCCACACATTTACACACCATATTTATTATAACGGACGAACGAATGTGCCGCGTTATTACCCCGGTTCAAAGGTCACTTTTACATTGTTGAGAATATTGTTTGATCGACCGATGACATTCTTCAACCTGACATTTTTTTCCCCATTTTTTCCCTGAGCTAAATTAATTAATTGAAAATTAACCGAATAAAAATATTATTCCGTGTAATTTTTACCGTGTGCATCTATATTTTATTTATTCACTGATAAACCCCTCGGGTTTATTTAAACATGATGAATCTATTTCAAGGACTATTATGTAGTTCACTTGTCACTATTTCCCACCCTCACCAAGTCTATTCTTCTCACCCCCCCCAAATGCGCACCTTCCACGTCTCCCCCTCGTACATAATCCTGTTATGTATCCACGCACACATGCACACGATCCAACACAGTAAATCCGATGGTGGAAAAGTAAATCATGTCTCTCTCTAATTCTCCCCGTTCCCTTTTTTTTTTTTCTTCAGCTCTCACTTCCATTCGTGTCCCCACGAAACAATGAACAATTCCCCGCCGGAATTGTGCAGTGCATAATCCGCTAAATTGCTACCTCCGAGCTTTTTCTTCCCTGACTTTCTATTGCGCCCTAAAAACTTTTTACTCTTTCACTTTGAGATTTCGCGAAACAAATCCATGGAGAGAGCACTACTGGGTGCACTCGCCTGTCATTTCGACTTTTCGAGATTTAAGTACTTCAGTATTATTTTTTATCCGCGATATCAATAATATATCGAGAGAAGATTTTATTCCCCGAGTGTATATTTGATGTTGATTAAGTGGATGCATGACTCAGATAAATATTTATCGAGGGTAAATTATTTAATTCCCTCGATTCCATTTCGTTCCATTTTCGGAATTACGTAAAATGTCATTTTTATTTCAATAAATTACCATTTTTATTAAATGTTTTTCGTGTGAATGGTGTATTATCCTTTGAGATATTTCACGCGGAAAAGAGGAACCAATTGATATATTTCTATCGTTACATGTGTCAAATGTCAAATAATCCACCCCAAACTGAGAATTACCCAGGGTGAACAGTACTGTTGAGGATTACACGATCTGGTGAACTGGTTAATGCGACATGCACATCCCTCGGGTCTGGTTTTGCCCCCTAGACCAAAATAAATCGACAAGTCCGCACTGAGAGCGAAATATATCACGACCGCGGATTGATACAGCTGTAAACATTGCAATTATCCTCAACAATTCCATAATTAATCTCTTTAAAATTATTTTTATTATCGAGAATATCCGGCCTAGACTATTCTCCGAGAATGACGTACTCGTTGGGTCTTCCGGTTTTATTTAAATATTAAGGGCGGAATTAAAACGCGGTTGCGCGGTAATCCGCGGGTTCGAGGAGAGATCAAAGGATTTTAACGGCTGGTGAATTTTTTTTCCCTCAAAGGATTGAAATTTCATGCAAATCGGGGGAAGAAATGAAGAGGTTAGCATTACTTTATCATCAATTGATTCCCTCTCTTTTACTTCCTGTCAAACGGCGATCGTTTGCGGCTGCAAATGAACCCCCGGCGTTCGACAATTTAAAAGAAAGTTTCAAGAGGAATGTCTAGACTGGAATTCCATCCCCATTGTATCTGTCATCTTTGACGGTATTTATTCATTTGACTTGACCAAAAAAAAATTAATAAATAACAATTATTTAATTTAACACTTTTTTTTCACAATTTTTTCTTGTCTTTCCGGTAAAATAATCGATTTTTCATCGGATTTCAATTAATGTACTGTAAATTACGAATAATAAGTTGAGATTAAAGTGAAAAAATAATTGATCCCTAGGACCCGAGGCTCCTCATTATTTCAGAATCCAAAAAATAATTTTTATGTCGAGAAGAAGAATGACAGACTCTGCACAGCAGGAATGAAAGTCCATTACGACAATTGCAACAGCGAAATTAATCCTCAAGGGCCCAGAATTAATCCCGTAAAAATGTAAATTTAAAATCCCCTGTGTGCACTTGGATTTACAAGTTGGAATGACGAAAAAAGAAAAAAAAAATGAGACAGACAAATATTCACAGATGCTCACGCGAGTATTTCGTTTCTGGTCTTTCACCGATACGTGGGCGCAATGAAAAAGGAATGGGAAACGCTAACGGGATTTATTTTGTATCCGAGAATGAGGGAGTTGGGTGAGAACAAGTGTACATATGTACTTACATCGGGTTAGAATGTATCACTGGGGGATTCTGTAGACATAGGAAATTGAGGAGAGTACGTGTGTTAGTCATGTGCGCTTTCTCCATTCTCTCATGTGTACCTAGTACTGAGCGAAAACGCCAAACTAACGGTCCAGTCAGTTCATTAGAGATCGACTCAACTTTCGGGGTTTTAGGATAGACCCAAGGGCTTATTTAATATCAAGTACACGTACCATTATTTCATGATCAGCATCTCCGACGTGGGGTGAAAAGGAATTGTTTTCCGCTGCATACGAAAATTATACTTTCAATTTATGCAATCCCTGGAATGATCTACAATTATTAATATTACTGCGGGAATATGTGCATATATGGTCATTTGATGATGAATAAAATTTGATAGACTTTCAATAAATCCATCCAGGTTAAAAAAAAATTGTAATCGGAATATTTTTGAAAAATTTTTGGAAAATTTTTGGAAAACTTTTCAGAAGATTTTTTTATGAAACAAAAAAAATAGGAAAGCTATTTTATTTTTTGGAAAAGGTTTTGATGAATTTTTCAGAAATTTGAATAAGAAAATTTTTTTTATAATTTAGATGGCGTTTTTTTGAAAATATTGAAAAATAAAAAAAAATAAGGAAACAATAGTATAATTAAAAGAAAAAATTATATTCGCAAAAATTTTTCAAAACATTTCCCAAAAATTCAATTGTTTCGATTCCCAATGTTTTTTTTTCAAAAAAAAAATTCTGAAAATTTTTCCAGAAATTTTTGAAAATTGGAAAAAATATTTCGATTACAATTTTTTTTTACCCGGGCAGATGTAACGAGACTTTTAAATATCTTGAATAATTTGATCTTTCACCGAGTAGTGGATTGATCTTGGGGATAAAAAATATT